TACATAATAAAATATAGTCACATTATACATGGGCTAAGAGAGGCTGCTATGGGTTGAATTATGTCTCCCCCAAATTCATGTGTTGAATCTCTAGTCTCCGATAACTCAGAATGTGACTGTAATTCAGAGATAGTTTTTCTGGAGGTAATCAACTTAAAATGAGATTACTCGGGTAATCCTTAATCCAGTATGACTGGTGTCCCTATGTAAAGGGGGGATCGAACAGGAGACATGCAAACAGAGGGGACATTACAAAGGCACAGAGAGGACACCATGTGAACATAAGGTAGCCATCTGGAAGCCAAGGGAGAGGCCGGGAGCAGATCCTTCCCTCAGAATTCACTTCACTTCTCCATAGAACTCCCTGCCCCAAGAACCATGGAACATTAGGTTCAGTTGTTTAAGTCAGCAAACTCACAGAGACACTTCTTTCTGATGTTCACAACAGAAGGTATCTGGGAACTGGCAGCTGCCTGTTCACATCCTTGAACCTGAACTTGAATAATAATGAAAGCAGGACTTTGGGCAGCATTTTAGTAAGAGAGTTCCTACCGTGGCATGTGAGGACTTGGGAACTGAGCATGGGCTAATGTTTGCCTTGGGAAGACGTGAGTCATAATTAAGAGGGGTCGTTGTCCACTGGGGTCTGAAGGCCAACTGATGTCCAATAATGGGGCTATATGCATGGAGGTTTTGCCCTTGTTGACTTTTGACACCCAATGCTGTTCTACAAATAAAGACATCAGATAAGGTTGTTTTAAACCCACAGGAACCCAAGAAGTCTTGGCATAGCATGGGAGGGGTTGGAGCTGGGATTCCACTCCTGGGACTAACCGTGAAAAGGCCACACCCCCTTGGGCAAGCCACTTGACTCCACGCTCTCATTCACAAAGATGTGGGTAATAGTAGCTTCCTTCTAAGGTCATTGAAAGGATTGGATAGGATGTTAACATGTAAGGCTCCAAGTACACAGTAGGTACTCAAGAAGTCGGTGCAAATATCCTGAAATAGGATTGAGATAAGCCTCATGAGGATTCGTAAACAGGCTCAAAGGCTTGTTTGTTCAATAAACAAGAGGCTACTGGTGAAGGTCAGCAGGACTGTGGAGGTCAAAATCAATGCTCAGCTGATATCAGGTGTTTATCACTGCTGGACGCCGCAAGAATCAGCCAAAATTTCTTACCAGTCCTAAGTTAATGTATGGTAGGATAGAACGAATGCTTGCTTATGAGGAACAGAAGACAGGATTGGAATTCTCACTTGTTCTCAGCGTGTAGCTCTTGGTGAGTCCCTGTCACTTCTCCCAACCTCTTCTTCTTCATCTACAAGAACTTTGTAGATGACAAGCATGTGGCCAGGGTGCCATTCCTTCTGCTCTCACACCCATGACAGATGTCCATAATCATTGGTGGCTCATTTCCACCTTTACTCAGAGATGTAGCTTCAGTAAGACTTCAGGAACATTGGAAAGAAATTCAAAATGGCAGTCTCCATGGAAACCATTCACCATCCTGTCCTATATGACCTCTAAAATGTCTTCCAGTTTTCTCATTCTGAACTTTTCCTTGGAGAGAAACTGACGTCATTTTGCATCTTTCAAGGTTTTCGTGGAGTGACTATTTGGGATATCTTACTGTATGAGGTCCCCTTCTGTTCCATGTTCTCCTTTCCCAGACCAGTTTTCTATCGTCCTCACTAGGACCCCAGAGTTTGAGATTTTGGTCCTAGATTTAGGTAACCTAGTTCCTAGGAACTGCTCTCTCTTTTTGGAACTCCTAGATGTGTGGTTTGAATATGGTTCCCCCCTACATACACATTTACGCATATGTTAATAGTATTAATAGAAAACGAAATCCAACTATGGGGTTTCCAAGTGGAGCCTTTGGAAAGTGATTAGGTTTAAATAAAGTCATTAAGGTGGAGCCTGATGACTGAGTTCTTTTTTTGGATTGAACCCAGGGCCTCATGCATGCTAGGCAAGCACTCTACCACTGAGCCACATCTCCAGCCCCCACCCCATGATTGAATACTAATGGCTTCATAAAAAAGAGGGAATGTAAGCAGACACACAGGCATGGACAAGTGTGCTCTCTGTATCTTGCCATGTGATGTCATGGGTCACCTCAGGACTCTGCCAGCACAAAGGCCATCACCAGAATTGAGCCAAGCCAGCGCCATGCCCGTGAATCTCCAAAACTGTAAGCTAAATAAATCTCTTCTTTATTAAGTTGCCTCAGGTCTCATATTGCCATTCTTAAAAGATGACTAGGACAATATCCCAGCTCAGGGTTAGTTCATTTCACATATGAGTCATCTCACCACTTCCTCTACCCATTCCCAGGATGGAGGAAGATGCTCCCCCACGAAGAGACAGCGTCCCAAATGCTTCTCCAATCCACGCTCTCAGGCAGCCCCGGCAATTGCTGGACATCGATGTATCAGATAGAAACTATTAACCATTTCCTCCCACGACAGTGTGCCCAAAGAAACTGGGGAGAAAATTATGAACTAGAAAAACCCAAGTTGTGTGTTTGCATGTGTGTTCATAGATCACAGGCCCTTTGAGAACGGCTGTTAGTATTCAAGAGCCTCACCAAGTCACCTCTGCAGCAACCGCAGAATGTGCCTATTCCAAAGAAGTCACCTGGTTTGAGTGGAATGTGGATCTGGGTATCACAGAACTCTGCATGCTAGATGTGGGTTTTTTTCTTAATATGCATATTTTTTAAATTGTCAATAGACTTTTATTTTATTTATTTATATGCAGTGCTGAGAAAAGAACCCAGGGTCTCACATGTGCTAGGCAAGCGCTCTACCCCTGAGCCCCAGCCCCAGCCTTCAGTCTTGTTTTTGAGCAGTTTACTCCACCTTTTATGAGCTTGTCTGCAAAACATGACTAACATTTCCTTATGGGGTCATTTTAGTAAATTCTGTATCCCCTCTCCGCCAGAGGACCTTCGGCAGGTAAACAAGAGCAGCTGCTGTCCTTGTACATGTTATCACTATCGCTGTGGTACTCTCCCATATTTACCTTGGGCTTTTCCATAGAGAAGTAAATTACTGCTCATGCCCGGAGACAGTAAAAGGGAGTGCGGAGGCGCTAGGCTCCGAGTCTCCTGCCTTCCTGACTGTGAGCATCCTGTTCCTTCTCCAGAACCAGCTCCGGGCCATATGCCCACAGGAGCCTCTCTGAGTTCCCTGGTGGAGGCTTCATATTAGTGAATTCTAGTGGAATTCTGTTTGTTCCAGAGAAACTTTGTCAACTCAGGGATTTTCAATCAATTCAGGATCAGAGTTTCTCCTACACCCTCACCCACTACCCCAAAGGCATTTGAGGATAGACATAACAGGCATTGAGGGCCTCAAGCAAGAAATGGCTCTTGAAGGCCCTGACTAGATGTCCTCTTCCCTATTCCCCCTTCAATACCCACCCATGGTCAGACATAGCAGGTGCTTCAGAAGTGGGTGAGTGGGTGGATGGATGGAAGGATGGATGGATGGGCAGGAGGATGGATGGATGCATGGATGAATACATGGATGGATGGATAGATGGATGGATGAACAGGTGGATGGATGGATGAGCAAGAGAGAGGGACAATGAGAAAGCAGTTCACTGGTAGAGGATATGTCTGTCCTTCCTCCTGAGTACAGTGTGAACCTCCTCCTTCCACTGCTAGTGAAGCTCAGGAGTCTCTGTCCCTCGAGTTCCCTATGCCCCATTAAGCACCACCCAGTATAGCTGGAACATTTGCCTGAGGAAGGTACAAGCTGAGCTTCCCATATGACTGTCACCACCAGGACTGGCAAGTGATATTTGCTACCCACTCAGCCCAGGACAGCTGCCCAGAGAGGCCAGATCCAAGGGCACTGTGGATGCATCAGACTCCCAGTACACAATCTGTAAGTAAAAGTTGTTTTCACTCTGACCCCTAGGGCTCCCAGTTTGCCCCTGGGGAGAGAACTCCCTGCATGGCTGGGGCAGTAGCTGGGGTGCAGTCTTACAGAGCTGTGGGTGCAACAGGACCTGGAGGGTTCATGAGCTTGCGAATCTTATTGCAGATGAACCCCTGACCTTTAAATAGGGGGCCAGTAAAGAACAAAAGAAGCCCCACCCTCTGGAGGCAGTAGACCTGGGCTGGAATCCCAGCTGGCGCATCGGCCCATGTCAACCTTGCATAGGCCCCTTGACCTCCCTGGGGTCACTTTTTTGCAGGGGTTGCGTGTGAGGATGGAATGGAGCCACCCATGGGGTACACGCCTTTAATGAAGAGAAGGTTAAAGGAAAGGGAGGCACCAGAGGTGGGTGAAGGCAGGGGCTGCTCTGAGCTGGAGGAGCTCAGAGGAAACAGAGAGGGCTGGAGCCACAGGGGAGGGAGGCAAGGGCCGCTGGCTGCCTGCAGCTGAGGCAGCAAGGGAGCTGGATGGACACCAGGTCCCCTGCTCTTGCCTGGCCTCCCACACCATGGGCAGGAGAGCCCAGCCCTCTCCAGACACAAAGGGCTGAGAAGGGCCCAGGAAGGAATGGGTTTGGCCAACAGAGTTAGGAGGGTGATGGAGATTTGGCTGTGTGTCACACACACTGAGGACATACTATACACAGAGCGTGCTACTCCAACTAGAATCCAAAGAAGTCTGCAAGCCCAGCAAGGGCTCCTTGTCCCTAGCACCTATATTTCCCCGAACACCTGCTGTTCACACCTCAAGCCTCGCACAGGTCCACGCGGCAGGTGTACAGGAGACCTCTGGTCTCCACGAGGGAGGGACAGGAAGTTGTGTGTGACAACACTGCAGAGCAAGCCAGAGTCGGGCTTCAAGTACCAGTCTGTCCACAAAGCCCAAGCTGTACCCGAGGACTCCCTGTTCCCCGGGAGTCACCACTGAAGTTGATCCTATGGGCCCTGGATGGAAGGGCAGAGCAGCAGGGGCCCTTTGGGACGACATGCCCTGATGGACTGTGTGGCCTAGCTGGGTGACGACGGTGCTGTGTCTCTTTGTCTAGGATGGCATACCCTATTCTGTCTCTCTGGCTGCTGGTGACCAGGCTGGGTCCTCTTGCCTATGGCCAAAGTGCACCTGCCCAGGAAAATCATACAACCCCAGTGGATGGGCCAACCTCCTCCCCCTTCCTGGACAATTCCCACTTTGCCTTCAGCCTGTACCAACAGTTGGTGGCCCCAGACCCAGACAGGAATGTGCTCTTCTCCCCACTGAGCCTTTCTGTTCCCCTCACACTGCTAGCCCTCCAGGCCAAGCCAAAAGCCCGCCCCCAGATTCTGCAAGATCTGGGGTTTCATCTCGCTGAGGTCCCAGAGAGCAGGATGCATGAACACCCCAGTCAGCTCCTGGAAGCCCTCCTGTCACCCCCGGGGGCGTGCCAGATGGATACCGGCAGCATGCTCTTTCTGGGTCAGGGTCGAAACCCAAGGCGGAAGTTTGCCCAAAGAGCCAAGAGTCTGTACCGCACGGAGATCCTCGCCACATCCTTCAAGAACTACCGGGTGGCCAGGCATCAGATGGACCTGGCCATGGAGAAGAAGACCGGGGGCAAAATCAAGACCTTTTTTGAGGGGATGAAGATGCACTCGGTTTTGATTCTGGCAAATTATATATTCTTTAAAGGTAAGTGGCCTCTACTGAACTCCCTGCAGGATATTGCAAAGTTAAGCCCTGTCCTGTCCAAGGTGGAAATGTCCCCTGCCCCTGCCTGGAGTTGCCGTTCCTCTGACTTCAGCCTACCTCCTCCGGGGTCTTTTCTGCATAGTTACGGCCCCCTCTTCCCTCCCTGTCCTAAGCAGAGCTTTAGAAAGGGACACCTTCCCGCAGGACCAACTGCATCATCTGTAGGGCTGAGTGACAAATTAATATGAGGGACCCTTTGTTCCAAAGGCATCTGTCAAGATGGTGACCGCTATGTGGTGCACTGCCTGTAGGGTTCTGTGGACAGACTTGGAGCCAGCCCAGCTCACAGGAGCCAGTGCCCCCAGCCACCCGGACAAGTCTCGCTTCTGAGACGACAACCCGCCCTGTCAAATCCTTTGATCAAACTGCCTCTTGCCAACCACCAAAGAAACCACTTGTCGAGCCAGGGAACCTCGTCCCCCCACAGCCACCTTGCTGGCTGCATGGGCTGTTTTACCAACCCCCGCCTCCCCCCTGGGGCTGAGCGGCTCTCCTGGCCCTCCCTTGCCCTCTGGCTCAGTGCACCTGCCCGTCACATGCAGCCCTTTGCATTGCTGGCTCTGCTGAGAGTCCCCTCAGCCACTCCCTCCTCTCAGTCGGCAGTCTCCTCAGGTGAGCTGAGCCAAAGCTGCAGCCTCTCACCCTCCCACACACTGAAGACCCCCAGCTCTCTACACCCAGACCCCCATCCCCACCAGCCACCTGGTCATCTCCTTCTGAGAGCAGCACCCCAAGCGTGGCATGCTCCAAACAGAAAGCATGTCTTGCCATCACCTCCTCTGCCCTTTAAGTCTCCCTCTTCCTACTCCTTTCCTCCAAATCTCAACTCCTGCCCCAAGCCAAGACCCTGAGGTCCCCTCACAGGGTCTCCCTTCTCTCCTGCACAATGTACCTGAGCCGCCACCGCACACTGTGGACTTTCCCTCTCCATGGCTCTTCGACCAGACCGTGGCCCTCTCCATGGCCGCTGTTCTCGCTCAGGTTACTCTGCCGTCCACTCAAATCATTGCAACGGCTTCCTAACGGGTCCTCTGTGTCCTTGGCTTTCCTGCCCACGGACTCCCTGATCCAGTGTCCACCCTGGAAAGGTCATCCTTCTAGAAGCCAAATCTGACCTTGAGCTTCACTGCCTAATCCTTTCAGTGCCCAGCCCAGTTGGGACCCTCAGGATGATGCTTCATGCCTGCAGGAGGAACAGTCCCCCAGTGACCTTCCTACCCCAGGCTAGGGAGAATGGCACCCCCCCCCCGGAAGAGCACCATCTCTCTTGCTTGAGGGTCTTTTTGTGGCCACCTGTTACTGCCACCTCCGCCTCTTCCTGCCAGTAGGCACACCCTTCAGGACTCAGCCTGGGAGCCACTGCCCCTGGGGAAGGCTCCTGGACAGCTTTAGGGACTGACTGCCAGCTTTAGGAACAAACCAGCCGCATCAGAGGGGGGCTCTCACTTAACAATGCTCACTTCCTGAAATTCCCATTTGACTGGTCATCCCATATGTGATCTGGTGACCCTTCCCATCACCACCAAAGTGGGGGATGTTGTTTGTGCTTTGAGCATGAAGACTTTGGGGTCTGAGCAGCTGCTTTGTGCCAGGAGTCGCACTCAGGACTTTGCTTTCACAAGTGTCCTTTAAGGAAGCTACACCACCCCCAGTTGTCACAGGAGGAAATTGACAGACCCGTCTCTCCCTGGCCTCACCTCCCACACCCTCTCTCACTCCTTCTGCTCCATGACAGGACCACTCCTGTCACTGGGCCTTTGCACAGGTAATTTCCTTTCTTGGGGGTTCTTGCCCAGGTATTCCATGGCTCAGTCCCTCGGCCTCTTAAGTCTTCACTCCATGCCACACTCTCAGGAAAGCTTTGTATGCGATTGTAACTGTCCTTCCCTGACATCTCGTGTTTCCCCTGACTTTATTTCTCTCCTTAGCACACATCACCATCGGGCACACTTATTTTCTTATTCGTCTTGTTCCTTGTGAGCCCTGGGGTGTAAGATCCATGTGGACAGGGACCTCTCCTGTGTGCCTGTATCTTCTGCCACAAGGACAGTGCCTGGCTCATAGCAGCTCCTCCCAAAGTATCTCCAAATGATTGGCATCATGCCCGTGGACACTGCCGGTCCCCTCTGACACCCACATGCTCTCTCATCAGGGAAATGGAAGTACCGCTTTGACCCGAAGGACACTAGGATCATGCCCTTCTCGGTGAGCAAGGAGCTCAGCGTCCCGGTGCCCATGATGCAGAGGCTGGGCTGGTTCCAGCTGCAGTACTTCCGCCACCTCCACAGCCACGCCCTCCAGGTGCCCTGCGTCTGCAACACCACTGCTCTCTTCATTCTTCCTGAGAAGGGGACGGTCGCCCAGGTGGAGGAGGCGCTGATGAAGGACAATTTGGACAAGTGGACTGAGCCCTTCCCACTGAAGTAAGTCCCCAGATGTGTCCGCCCCCCAGTAGCACAAGCCTCTCCCGAGAGCCACCGCTAACCCTCTGCAGCGGGGAGTGAGGCCCTGCTGCTCTTGGGGCCAGGACATGAGGGTTTGGAACTAGGTCACACCCTGATTGTCACACAGGACTCAGCCCTCCACTTCTCTGAGAGAAGGGAACAGGGCTTCAAAATCATCACCATCCACGTCATCGCATGTCACCACCTGACGCCTCCCTTCAGATTACAGATCACCTTGGCATTTGGAAGCCGCGAGAACCTGTAAAGAAATGAGGGATGTTTAACTTAGCGCTTCCCGGACAGGATTTGCACATAGGACCCAGACAGCCACAGTCCCGTGGAGCCCACAGCCTGTGGCTGCCAAGGGTCTTCCCTCCTGGCTCAGCCGCTTCATCTACTGGGTATCAGTATCACACCCCACTCCCAGTTAGGACAACCAAATGCGTCCCCAGTCATTGCAGACCGGCATCATCTGGGAGTCCAAGTGGCTCTTGTCCTAGACCATAAATCATGCAGGTCAGTGGGTTCTGGAAGGTGGGTCCTGGGCACCGCTGCAGCCCCGAGTCTTCATTCACCTCCAGATGCCCCGCAGGTCCCAGCGTGAGCCCCACTGAGCTCCTCCTGGCAGGGCCTTCTCATCTCCCCCAAGGCCCTTCCCCTGGAGATAGCAGGGAGCTTCCAACACAGCTCCCTATTGCATGGTCCCCCAGGACACCCCTGGGTTGTCAGGAGGCTCCAGCTAGCCGAGGCTGCCTGGGAGTCACAATGAGGGGAGGAGGCACACTTTCTTGGGGCTGAAGCAGAGACACTAAAGCTGGGAAGACACATTCTCAGCGCACAGTCATCCCCGAGCCTATGTGCACAGAGCCGCCCTCTGACCGCCGTGCAGGGACAGTCCCCACAGGGGCTAGTCTTTGTTTTCTGATTTTTGTGGTTTTCTTCCCCTCTCCTAACCTTATTGCTGTCATTGAAAAACAACAATTGTCTATAGTTGCGGAGGCCACCATGTCTCAAGGTACACGGACTTGGTGAAATGTTTAGGACAATCCAGCTCATTAGCACATCCATCACCTCACACGGGTGCCTTTCTTTGTGTGTCTGGTGAGAACTCTTAAGAGCTGCTCTCGGCCAAGTTCAAGCATGCAGCACAGTATGAACCCCTCCCCTCCCCAGGCTGCACAAGAGAAATCCAGAACCATTCATTCTGCCTGACTGGCACTTGGCCCAACCTCTCCCATCCCCCTCCCAGCCCAGGCAACCACCCCTCCGCTCTCGGCTTCTGGGAGAGTGACTTCTCCACCTGTGAGCGAGATCATCTCCCCTCCTGTGGTTTTGACGTGCAGACGTGGAAAGGTGAACATGGGAGGCGGCAGGAAGGTGGGGCTCAGCCCTGCCCCAGCACGCAGGGCCCTCGAGGTTGGGCCTTCACAGGAAGGAAGTGTGATGAATCTCTCTGTCCACTGGACCCCGGGGGGCCACAGCCAGCAGGCTCCAGAAATACCTGAGGCTTTGGGGTCAATGCCAGCTTTTTAGAAACCGTGTGACTCTGGGCAAACTCCGAACCTCTTCAACCACCCCCATTTTCTCATTTGTGAAGTGGATACTCTGGGCACCTAGCCCCAGGAGCACCATGAGGATAAAATGGAACCTTCTGGAGGCTGCCTGGCCTGGACCCGGTGGTTTCAGGCTCACGGTAAATGTGGCTGAAACGAGTCTTTCTCTACTATTCTGAAGTGAGGCTGCGGCGGGGGACAGTGTATTGAAGGATGTTTTTTAAGTTTGGTTTTCTTTTCTCATTCTCCCGAGTAGCAGGAGGAAGTTGTATTTTCCCAAATTATCCCTGAGTGGGAATTATGACCTGGACAAGCTGGTGCTCTCACCCAGCGGCCTGAATATGTTTGGTTACGGCATAGGCCTCTCGGGAATCTCTGTGCAAACCATCCCCATAAAGGTCTCTAAGGTAAGTTAAAGCCTGGAGTCCAGGGTTTTTACACCAGTGCGCAGGTTTGCCCACTTCCTTGTTCACTGAGCAGCATCCCTGGGGCTCACAGGGCTGTTCTGGCTCCTGGTGAGGTTGGAGGCAGAAATGGAGAACTGCAGCACCCAGTGGTGGTGAGGATGGCTGTTCCTCGGAGAGGGCTGAACCTGGGGAGGAGGGTGCTCCTGAGCTCACCACCTGCTCTGTTGGGAGAAGGAGCTCTGGGGGCCTCAAAGCCGGATGTGTGTTTGCAATGCTGACACCTCCTAGGGACGGGGGGTTGCCCTGGTGGTTACGTAAACATGGGGAGAGGGAGTTACGCAAGGAGGGTCCGGCTGCAGAAGAAGGTTACATACGGATGCGTGGTGGGAATGGGGATCGTTACCCAGGGAAGGGGCAGCAGAGTGAGATCCCCAGAGACGGGGTCCTGAGGATACAACACCTCTGTGGGACGCTCCAAGGAACAGGAAGAGGAAATGCCCAGAAATACTGGCTAACCTTGGGAAAAGGAAGTTGGGGAGAAGAGGGATGAGCCCATGGGGCATGGGAAGGGCTGTGGGTGCAGCTCCTAGAACCAGTTACTAAAGGATCCTGATCACCAGACTAGTGCTCTGAGGTGACTCAGTGAGGCGGGAGGGGGACCACAGGGGCTTCGAGCAGGAAATGGCTGGCTGGATCTGCACTTTAGGGAGCCCTGGCCCATGCAAGTGGACGGCTGCAGAGCTTCCTGGAGATGGTAGACAGGACAGACCAGGTCGTGCCTCTAGTCTTCTGGGCCCAGCTCAGAGTGAGGGTCAGGGTGGTGCCTCCTGGGGGAAGGGGCTATTCCTGCTCAGGTTGACACTGTGAACCTTGGTCCCCAAAGGCAGTGCACAGGGTGGAGCTGATCGTGGATGAGGAAGGGACAGATGAGGAAAACGTCGCCAGCTTCAGCTACTTTCCCAAGCACCAGATCCCGGCCGTTCACTTCAACAAGCCCTTCCTGCTGCTCGTCTATCAGGAAGGCAGCCACAACCTTCTCTTCATGGGGAAAGTGATAAACCCCAACGCACCCTAGAGTCAGGTGACAGGAGGGCCTGCCTGCTCCTCCTCCTCCTCCCACCCAGCCCCCGTCTTCCCATGGCTCCAAGAGAAAATGGAAAACCAGCCCCGGGTTCATTGGCACAAACACACGACTATGGTTCCATCTTCTGGGTCTTTGCACAAATCCCCCTGAGTGATTGTCCTCATTTCACAGACTAGCAAATCAAGGTCCAGGGCACAACTTTGCACACTCAAAGGCCAAATTCCCAGGCCCAAAACCTGGGAATTTGGCCTTCCTGTGAGGATCCTAGACCCGGTCCCTCTCCTGGCAATCCCTCTCCTGGCCTCTCCCTAGCTTCATTTTCTCTGCTGATTACTGGACTTTCCCCTCTCTTCCGATTTCCTCCAACCCTCACCACCTGGAGTACAGGGAAGCTGTGTTTCTCTGTTGAATTGGTTAAATAAACTGGCAAATGACAACCTTGCAGGTGGTGTTCTGGTTTTATTGGGAAGGCTGTCTCCCTGGAAGGACCTGGAGGTTGCTGGGAGTGGCCTGGGAACACGTTTGTGAGACCCAGAGAGGCAGGACCATCCTTGTCATTGCTGCCTGTGGCATCTGACAGCTCCAGGAATCCGCTGAGCCCCTCTCCTTCATAAGTGCCTGAGAAGGAGAGCATGCCTGGGACTTCCCAGGGTCTCTCTGATGAGAGCTGCACAACGCTGTGTCACATTCGAAGGCCATCTGCCTGTCTCAGCTTGGTGCCTGCAAGGGACGACCCAGCACAAACACTCCCTGAGCCTATCCAACCCATTCTCCCCAAGAGGAACCCTCTTTCCTGAGAGGACAGTGCAGGGCAGGCAGACTGTCCACCAGAGTCTCCATCTGACCTTCCGTCCTCCATAAATCATTCGAGTCAGTGGCCATCGGGTACCAACTGCATGCAAGGTTGCAGGACACCAAGACCGTCATCTCCAAGATGCAGGTGTGAGTGACACCCTGCCAACCGGCAGCCACCCTGGGTACAGGGGCAAATGTTCACTGTGTGATATATTCTCTTGCTCTACACATGGGGACCCTGTTTTAATTGGCAGGTGTGTCCCATGGAGCTTTAAGCAGAGTGGGCGAGCAGCCCGACACTGGCCGAGTCGGCCTCACTGGGGGAGGGGAGAAGGATGCCGCTCAAATGATGCCAAGGGGCAGGTGCGGCTAGTCGATGGGAACCCGTCGAGCCTGGACTGCCATGGCGGTCTCTCCACAGACACCGTCCTGTAAGCCACCTCTACATGCTCAGCTGTTCCACTGTGACCTCAGCCTCCTCTCTTTCCAGCACATTCCTCTCGTAGCCAACTCCAAAGATCCTTCAATCCCACTGGGATACACGACCCAGGGACTCGTCTGATTGTCCCTTTGCTTTCTTCTCTGGGGTCCTCACTTGCTCTAGGATCAATCCCATCCTGAGATCCTCTGTTCTTCTCTGGTTTTCTCAGTCACTCGGCAAAGCCTCCCGACCCTCTCCCTGTTACAAGCTCCAGCCACTGGATGTGGCTAGTGAATGGCACACACTAACTGCTCCATCTCACCTCAAGATCACTAATCTCAAAGACAGCCGGGGTCCCGGAGGGCAGCGACTCTGCAGCCCTCTCATGCCCCACTGTCCTGTGCCTCTGCCTCCCAGTCCTGTGGTCCCAAATCCCTCTCAGCTGATGACCTCACTGCCTCTGCACTGGCAAAATACAGGGGTTCCCCTGCCGGCCCACCCACCACCACTCAGGGCCCTGCTGTCCCTCCCGTTGCACCAGGTGGCCTGCCCTGTCCTCACTGAGGCCAGTCCATGCAGGACTGCATTCATCTCGCTCACTCAGACACTGCCCAGCTCTCCCCTCCTCTCCTCTCCCCCCACCCACATCTTCCCCGTCTCTGGGCTTTTCCTATCAGGATATGAATACACTATTGTGGCTTTCTTATTAAAACAGAGATCGACGGACAGGTAGATTCATAGATGACAGATGGACAGATACATAGATGGATAGACAGATAATCATTTTCCCTTCCAGCTAACACACTACTGCTTGAGAAAGTTATAGATTGTTTTTTAATCCAAATTAGGGTACCTGGCCACCCCAGTCTTCCTGAGACGGCAAGGGTCCCAAGACATAGGAGTTTGAGTTTTATAACTGGAAGTCACAAGATGCAGACTTCCCTGCTAGAATTAAGGACGTTTCCAGATCACAGGTTGTTCAACCCACAAAATCCTCTTTGGGGGCAGGGGTGCAGCTCAGTGGTAGAACACTTATCTAACAGGCACAAGGGCCTGAGTTCAAGCCCCAGCACTGCAAAAAGAGAAGTAAAGAAAAGAAAAATCTCTTTTCATTGTTTTGAACATACTCCTCCGTAGGGTTCCCTCCCTGTCCCCAAAATGATAAACTGGACTTCACTAAACTAAAATGATTATGTCAGGGCCAGGCTGTATGGGCAATGAGCAAACAGATTCCATTTTACCCTGAGACTCCACGTCATGTAAGAAATGCTTCTCCCGTGGGAAAGCCCCACCTCTGCACCCATTATTAGTCACCTAGCATAACATACTTGGCAACTCAAAATAGCAATTCTTACACAACGTAAAATTGTTCTCTTTGGCTTCCATTTTTCTTGGGCAATGTACCTTGTCAGAGATTGATTGTCTAGATGTTAGTAGCCATTCTCTAACCTGTGCTCAACTAGGGTCATTTTGACCCACTTCCCTTCTGCTGGCTTGCTGCTATGCCAACCTGGAAAGACCCGTGGGAAACACCAATGCACCCATTGCATTGTCTCGCTAACTGCCCGATTCTGCTTCTGTACCTGCTTGCTTGCAGCTATGTCAACCCAGATGTGGTTTTTGCCTTTAAATATCCTAAAATGCTCAGTCTCGGGGCTGTTTCTTGCAAAGACAGTTATGGGTCCTGCGGGGGGCAGTCCCTGGCCGACCAGCTAAATAAAGACTCTTCCATTTGGACAAACTGGGACTTCGTGTGTTTTCTGAGCGACCTGCCCCACAACAATTACACTTCAAAGGATACTATTGGGAAGATGAAGGGACAAGCCACAGTTGCTCACAGAGTGAAACAGTCTTGTATCCATCAATAATCATCCTAGACTTACTCATCCCGCTTGAAAACGTCACCCACACAAAAGCCCGTACCCCAATTTTTGCACCAGTTTTATTCATAATCACTAAAAACTGGGAGCAACCAAGATTTCCTTCAACAGATGAATGGTTAAACAAATTGTGGTACATGCAAACAAAGAAAGGTCATTCAGCAATCAAGATAAAGTGACAAGAAAGAACCTGTGAGATCACAAGAGATACACAGGGGCCTTAAATACAAGGTGCTAAATGAAAGAAGCTAGTCTTAAAATTAGCATATTACAGTAACTCGGCCACATCCATGTTTGTAGCAGCTGAATTCACAATAGCTAAGCTATGAAGCCAATGTAGGTGCCCTTCCAACAGATGAATGGATAAAGAAAATGTGATATAATGACGTTTTAGTCAGCCATGAAGAAGAATGACCTTATGGCATCTGACAGTAAATGAGTGGATCTGGAGACCATCGTGCTAAGTGAAGTAAGCCAATCCCAAAAAGCCAAAGCTCAAATGTTTCCCCTGATACATGAAAGCTAACACACAAGGGGGCAAGGGAAGAATAGAAGTTCAATAGATTAGGTAATGGGGAAAGGAGAGGAGGGGATAGGAAGAGAAAGACAATGGACTGAAACTGACATAACTTCCCCACGTCCTTAGATGAAACCGACACAGTGAATCTCACCATCACGAATGTCCACAAGAATGGGATCTTAACTAGAAAAAGACCTTCTCTGTGCTTGTATAATTCTATCAAAATGGATTCTGCTGTCCTGGGTAACTAAAAAGAACCAATACATTTTTAAAAATTAAAAAATAAAAAAAGAAGCTTATCTGAAAGGTCACGTGCTGTGCAATTCCAGGTATGGGGCCTTCTGGAAAAGGGGAAACCACTGTGACAGCAAAAAGACCAGCCCTTGTCAGGAGTGCCCAGGGCGGACGGAAGGGCCCGATAGGGGAACGCAGGGGCATGAGGTAAGGTGGTTCGTGACGCTAGCCTTTGTCAAAACCTGTAAGACTTTACAGCACAAAATATGAATCTGAAAATAGACAAGCAAAAAAAAAATCATTGAGGAGCTGGGGGATCTCAGGATGGAAAGTAAAGTGTGGCAAACAACCCCATCGTATTACAAAAGTATGAAGCAACTTCACTGAGGGGTGGGGTTGCTGACCTAGAACCCCTGGGAGTGAGCAAGTGTGCAAGGCCAGAGGTAAGCAGGTGGCCGCTGAGCAGTGCCTTCTAGTCACTACAGCTGTTCCCCACAGGGGACAGGTTGACCATGCAGATTCCACTGCACCTGTGTCCAGGAACTCATGGAGTGGGGAGGGTGATTCTAGACAAGAAAGAGGAAACCAAGATGATCCGTGGCGTAGACTGGAGATTCCAGTGTGAACTTCAGCATTAATGTAGATGGAGATGATGGCACAGGTAAATGCTATGTGTAGGGAAGCAAGTGTGTGTGCACGCATGTACACAAATGAAGAGGGTCTATGGGCAAGGGTGCCTCAGTAGCAATGAGCACACACAGCACCAAGACCTTGCTCTCCAAAACCATTCTTCAACAAAAGCAACCAGGACTCCTTGGAGAAATCGCCGATCCTAGGACCAGGGTGGGAAGTACCTAAGATGGCCCTGGAGCACCCTACATTGCTAGAAAATAATGAGCACTTTGCACCAGGGATTGAACACAGGGGCACTTCAGCGCTGAGCCACATCCCCAGCCCTTTTTTATATGTTATTTAGGAGACAGGATCGCACTGAGTTGATCAGGGCCTTGCTAAGTTGCTGAGGCTGGCTTTGAACTCTCTCGATCCTCCTGCCCCAGCCTGCCAAGCCCTGGGATTACAGGTATGCACCACTACACGGACAACAAGGAAGTACTTTAAAAACCCTGTCCATGCTAGGATA